TAAAATCATAGGTGTAATTAAAGTTAATGTAATCCAGAGGAATCGGAAAGCTTGGGGTTGACGGGAGGCTAACATTCCCATAGCCGGGAAGGAGTGTGCTCGAAGGGTTGACATGCAGCCTCTGTGCCAGGTCATGAAAATCAGCATATGCGCACTTACACAGATGATAAAAACCCAACAAGGAAGTTTGGCACTAAAACTTAATGGCCTATCAAATCACAATCAGGACATTAAAATGCAGTGGGCTGGAGTCCTGCTCCTGCGTTATAACCTCTTCTAGCTGTCCCGCAGCCCACGCCGCCAGGACATCCTGAAGGCCAGGCCCAGGGTTCTGGGACTGGGGTCAAGGCAGGCACTACCCATGACCCACGGGTCTCCAGAAGAGGTGGGTACCAGCAAAGGAGATGTTTGCTTGGCCAGACCTTTCTCCTCTTTGGGGCCTGGCCAGTCTCCTTGTCATAAACTCTCTTTACAGAAGTTTATTGCTTAGCCTTCCTATCTTGTTCAGGGAGCAGAGGGAATTGATGCTAGAAGCAAAAGCCAAGACCACTTTAGGGTATGAATGAGAGGCTGTAGAACAACATCCATAGATGTTGGGGATTTCCAGAGATGTATTCCAGACCTTGTAAGGAGCAGGAGAAGTGTATAAATGGTGGTGGGGAGGTGAGGATACATGCATAGCGACTGGCTTGGCTGCTAGTGATGCTAGATAGAGGTGTTTAGTCAAACTAGCAACTATTCAGGTACACGCATGACTCTTGCCCCCAAAGAATTTAGTCCAGTTAAACCTTTTGTGCTCAGGTGTAAACCTGAACAATATACCATGAGGTTAATTCATCCAAAAAGTATGTGGACTCATCCTCAGTACCAGGGATGTGATGGTGAGCTAGACAGACAGCCAAGCCTGTAAGGAGCTTACACTCCAGTTGGGAGGGACAGGTTCAAATAAGCAGATTACCCTAACTGTTTTGAGTACGGTTGAGAAAATAAACCAGATACTGGAAGAGAGCATGATGTGTGAGGCTCCTTTGGGTCAGATGGTCAGAGGATTTCTCTGTGGAAGTGAAATTTGAGCTAAAGCCTGAATGATGCAAAGTGGTCAGCCATGCACAGACCTGGGGGAAAGATTGTGTTCCAGGTAACTGCACGTGAAGAGCCCTGAGGTAGAAATGAGCTTGGTCTGATAGAACAGAAAGAAGGCCACGGGCTGCGGAGTGGAGGACAGGTAGGAGAGTCAGATGGTGTGTGGCTTATGGCCATGGTAGAATTTGGCTTTTAATCCACCTGTGATGGGAAGCCCTTGCAGAATTTTAACCAAGGGAATTTGATCTGATTTATGTCTTTGAAAAGATGTCCTGGCTGCTCTTAAATATCAGAAGACAGCAATAGAACAGTCACAAGGCAGTCCAAAATTAAATGCCATGGAAACGTATGAATAAGAAGTACTTTGTGAGTAGAAGAAGAGTGGATGGTTGGGTGGGAACGAATGGACGACTCGAAGCAGGGGCTGGAGCTTGGTAGGCACTGTGTGGAGATGCCTGGTCCATCGGGGCCGCTGCTGTGGTGAGAGGAGCGGGGGCTGGTGGACAGGAGAACTTTGGAGAAAAGATGGGCTCGTGTGGACACAGTGATGGGAACTCCAGCCAGAAGATCCAGCTTAATCCCATATTGGGGCCCCAGGTTTATCACTTCAGCTCCCGGAGCCACCATTTCTGGCTCTAACGAGCTTTGTCTTGTCTGTCTCATTGGGCTGCCAAAGAAAGTGTGTGGAAGCCCAGTACAGAGGGCAAATACTTTCTTTATTTGAAGGAGAGCCCTGGGAGACAGGGTTGGAAGTTCAGGAGAGAGGCATGAGTGCAAGCTCAAGAGTCTGGACGTTTCCTGGCATATCTTCTACCTCTCCCTCCTGTGTCCACGACAGACCCTTCCTCCCAGTGAGCCAGTTCTCAAGCTCAGAGTCCATCTCAGGCCCACCGGTCAGAGAAGCTGGCCAGTGATATGGAGTCAATTTACCACCTCGCAGGGCAGTGGCATCAAAGGGCCAGAACCTCATAAAGGTTTGAAAGTGAATTTTCTCATCTTCAGGGCTCCTGCAATATGGACAGGGATATTTTGGAAAGAAATGGTGGTTTTCTGTCAGTGGCAATGTCTGGCTTTTCTCCTCCTTCCCCCACCCCCACTCCATCCCACTCCATCCCACTGCCCACCTTGACCATGGGCCATGCTGGCACTGGCCTGACCGCAGCATTCATATCCTGTTTAGGGGAGAGGGTGGTCAGGGGTGCATTGCCCTGCCTCTCCTGCCTTCTTTGGAGGCCAGTTGGAGCCTTGAGCCCAGGTCCTTGTGGGCCTGCCCTGGTGTTCTCCCTTCTGCCTCCTGGGCTGAGTGGGTCTGACTCAGGCCACTCACTTCCTCCTCTGCAGGGCAGGCTGAATTCTTGGGTGACAGAGCAGTATCAGGAGTGAGCTTCCTTTTCTCAACTTGTCTTCATGTAAGGTGAGCCTCCACCACCCCAGTCAGGGAAGGCCACCCTAGCATCAGGAGAATGGGGTGGTTGGCATCTTGGGACAGGTTGCAAGGAGCTGTCAGCCTGGAGGTAGGCCTGGGGGTGGGGAGAGGGGAATCCCCTTTAAGAGTTCTAGAAGCCCTTCATCCCAACCGTAAGCTCCCAAAGAATGACTTATTCCTTTTATTTTAGTGAGAACCAAAAAAAAAAAAAAAGTTCATTTTAATATATTCCATATTATGTCAGTAGAATCTTCCTGAGAATATCTCATTACATGGATCGGTGTGAAAGGGTACCCAAGCCTGGACACCCGTGGGGACAACTCTGTGCTCTTCTGCCCCACCTCTCATGGGAAAGTGAATGCCTCAGAGTCAGGCCTCGTCTGCCTTGGCTTTTAACCTGGGGTCTGTGAGCCAGTTGGGGGATTGGATCCCTATGAAGTGATACATTAATTTGGACTATATAGGCATCCGTATGGGAGAAGGGAAGAAGCTTTATTAAATTCTCAAGAGTGTCAGTGACCCAAGAAGGCCCAGAGCCCCAACCTGAGCCAAGAAAGACATTCTCCCTTTTGCTGCTGTGGGTGGCTGTGGTGTGCAGGGAGCGTGGGGAGAGGCCAGTGTGGTGGACTGCGGGCTGCGTGTTTTCCATCTGGGGGGTGGTTCAGTGGAGTAGAAATAGCACTGCATGCTCTATATGCTTCAGGCACATTCTGTTAAATGGGCTTTTGTGGTTGTTCCTGAGAATCTGCAAGGCATCTTTGTTTGAAATTGTTTCTTTGGGGAAAACATATTTTCAGTTCCAAACAACCAACTTACCAAAACAAAACAAAAAACCTTTGTAACCTGATGGCTTAGAAAGTTAACAAATGGGTTGTGATAGCCCTAAATGTTTCTTTCTACAAAGTGACATTCTTAATGTTTCAGTGTCATGACAACCTTGATACCCCTATGGTTCATGGGGTCCCGAGTGGGCTCTAGTCAGACCATGAGCCCATAGGTGTCCCTCATCCTTGGGCCCATTTGAGAAGGACCAGCATGCCGGTGCAGCTGAGAATCGTAGCTGCTCCCTGGGCTGGATGCCATCCGGGAGTGTTGCATCCACTGATCATCTCATGGCTCCCGAGTGCTCCGTGCAGAGGAGGAGCTCGGCAGCTCTCTGCCCTCGGAGCTGGATGATCACTTACGGTTTCTACTATCAGTGTGCGTGGGGTGTACAGCGTAGCCACTGTGGAGCCCCTTGTCCCTAGAAGGGACGGGTGCGCAGGCACGGAGGAAGCTGGGGACGGGCAGGAGTGGAAGGCACATGTTTGTGTCCCGGTGCCACCTGGGGCTGAGCTCTGCGGGAAGACCTGGAGGAGACAGGCATTTTTGCCCCAGCCACGTGCTCCGATGGAAGCAGGAGAGCCCTTCCCGTGGCTCAGTGGCTTCTGCAGGCTGTCGGAGGTCCCCCCTGCTAATACTGGGGTGTCTGTCTGCCTCCTGTTTTCCCAAGTCAGTTATGAGAATCGCGGTGCTCTCGGGCTGCCACACAGCAGCACCCATCATGAGAAGGCCGAGGTTTGCCCTTGCCTGCTGCTTAGCCTGCTTCCTGCCTGGAAGGGTGAACCTGGCTGTGTGGGGGCCAGAGCCGGTCTGGACCTCCTCGCTTCACGGCCCCGGCAGCATTAGAAGCCAGGAGGTACTCTCTCTGAAAACGAAAGCCATGTACAAATGTCCTGATAGCACCTATCAAAGTGCTTGTTTGCTTTTTAATGTATCACATTTTATTATTCGCGACGTTACTGCATTTGCATGCCGGTAAGGAGAGGGCAGAGCAGTCTTTATACCAAGAAAAAGGCATTTGAAAATGACGGGACAGATCCCTGTGCCTATCAGATCATATGTCCTCCCATGTGGGGAGGAATGTATTCTTGCTTCTGTGAATGCTTATTCTTGCTTCTGTGAATGCTTATTCCCAATTCAAGGCGCAGACTCCCTTCTGCCCTGGAGGAGGGGATGACAGGTAGTGGCACGGTGCTGGGAAGCACATACAGACTGTGGCCGTGGCCTCCAGCCACATTGCTTGGGTTCTCAGCCCCGCTCTGTGACCTGTGGCTGTGTGCGTAACCTTGGCCAGTCACCCACCCTCTTGGTGCCTTAGTTTTCTCATCTGTAAAATGGAGATAACGTCAGCTTATACTTTGTAGGGCTGTCGTGAGGCTATAAAGCGCTTAGAGCAGTGCTTGGCACACAGGACCTACACACACACGCACGCACACACACACACGTTGCCAGTATTTTTTATGTAGTTACTTCATTTTTGCCTCTCGCACTCCTTCCCCCTCCCCCACTGAGTGGATTAGGGAAAAGATTTCTTTCCTCCGTGCTGGCGCTTCTTTTCTCTCAGGTAGCCCTGGTGTCTGGGAATAGGGCGCAGCTGTCTTACAGAGGCAGGCGACATCACTGGAGCCTCCATGCCATGGGAGTGGTTTCTCTTGATTTCTTCCCACAGGGTGTGGACACTGTAAGAAAATGAAGCCAGAGTTTGAGAATGCAGCGGAAGTCCTCCATGGAGAAGCAGACGTAAGCTTCCTTTCCGTAATCTCCCCCCACCATTTTCCTCTAAAGACTAAATGACATGGATCCTCACAGTGACTTTTCCCTGCAAGCTCCCGGAGGCCTGCAGTACTTCATTGTCCCCAAGTACACATGTCTTAGATCGGCGGGGTCCCTAACAGGGATGGAGGGGTGCAGAGAGACTCTAGGGTCGTATTCCCACACTGTCCATGTGGCCTCTGCCAGGTCCTGGCCCTGGGGTGAAGCCCCAAAGTTCAGCCTCTTTTCTCTGGGACCATGGCTATTGGGAACAGTCATCGTCTACACAACCTGATTGGTGGGGTGGATTTAAACGTCTCGTTTCAGCCCACAAATGAGAAATCATGGACATTCCAGTGGACACATCCTGGGGATATATCTGAGCCCAGGGGGCCAGCCACCCCCAGTGAAATGCTGGCAGGTCCTGGGTGGGTTGGGGGCTGGCGTCTGGGCTCCTCTTCTGCCAGCACCGCGTCTGAGGCTGTCATGCATGGTTGGCCTCTCCCCCATCCCAGAGCTCTGGTGTCCTTGCAGCTGTCGATGCCACTGTCAACAAGGCCCTGGCAGAGAGATTCCACATCTCCGAGTTTCCTACACTGAAGTATTTTAAGAACGGAGAGAAATCCGCCGTGCCTGCGCTCAGAACAAAGAAGAACTTTATTGAGTGGATGCGAAAGTAAGTGTGGTGGTCTCAGCACATCCTGACTCCTGGCCGCCGGCCCCTGGAGCTGGCCTGGAGGACACAGAGTAACGGTTAGGGGCTGCTGACCTTGGCTCAGGGCCACGGGAGCCAAGGCGGACTTGACTTCCCCAATTCTAGAGCCACCTCTGGTGTGCTGGCCACATGTCCCCATCCAGCAGGTCACTGGCAGCCTCCCTGGATGCAGTTTCACCGGCACCAGGGGCAGCGGGTGGTATCGAGGTGCTTGTTTAAAGTGCAGATTCTGGGGCGGCTGTCCCTGAGGCTTTGATTCGGGAGGTGGGAGTGGAACCCTCAGCCGTAGTGTTTTGAGAAATACCTGCTTATAGAATGGAAGCAAAGTTACCACTAGGTTCAGGAGAGACTTCTGGGAAGAGGTGAGGGCACTGGCAGGGTCCTGGTCTCAGCTTCTCCCACTTTGTCCTGCTCATCACTGGGAGCATGTTCAGTGGTTTGCTTCCAGAAGAGACAAGGTACTCACCCTCTTGGGCCTCTTGGTGTCAGAAGCAGGTTGCTATTCACACCTGCCTCTCTAGCCTCCCTCTGGTGCCAGGGCTGGTACACTGGGAGGATTAGCCGGGTGGGGGTTCAGGCAAGTCCTTGGTGCTTGCACTTGTGGTTAGAGAGCCCAGGGAATCCGGAGTGGCCTGGATGCACGTAGTGAGTGAGCACCGAGGATCTGTGTCCCTTCTGTGCGTCGTCCCTGCTGCTGAGCGCCTGAAAAGCACTTAGGGTAAAAGCATGGGTATTGGAGTCTGAGAACCCTGCACTCAGATGGTGACCCTGGGCCATTTACTTGACCCCACTACACCCCAGTTTCCCATCTGGAAAATGGAGACAGCACTTTCCCAAAGGCTTGTCTAGAGAATTAAATTAGACTACTGTGCTTATCATGGTGTGTAGCGTGGCAGTACTCAGAGAGAGGAAGCTGTTTTTATTGTGGACGTCAGCTGTTACGTGGGGCTATAACAGACAGCATCGCCCCATAAGTGGTGATACCTTCCCAGGCTTTGCCAGTTGCTTTTTTATCTGCTGCCCATTTCACACTCAGATCCTATGAGGTCAGAGTTTTTTGTTTCTGTTTTTTTTTTTTAGATTTATTTATTTGAGAGAGAGTGTGTGTGTGAGTGGGGGGAGGGGCAGAGGGAGAGAATCTCAAGCAGACTCCCCGCTGAGTGCAGAGCCCGACATGATGTGGGGCTCGACCCCACTCGAGATCATGACCTGAGCCGAAACCAAGAGTCAGAAGCTCAACCAGCTGAGCCTTGCAGGTGCCCCCAGGTCAGAGTTTTTATTCCTGTTTCCTTGATGAAGGAACTGAAGCTCAGAGAGGTTAGGAGCCTTGCCTAGACACAAACAGTAGCTCTTTTGGGAGCTTGGAAAGAATCCTCAGGCAGAGCATGAACGGCAGATAGCTCCGAGATGAAGGAACTTGTCACCCAGGAGCAGGGTGAGCAGTGTTGGGTGAGGCCGGTGGCATTTCCAGGCTTGTGCACAAGTGGGGTGCTGTGGGTGACTGAGACACGCTCGCCAGCAGGCCGGCCTGGGGAGGCAGGGGCCCAGGCAGAGGAGCTTCTGTCCCTGTGGCAAGATGATAGCTGACACCTGGAGGGCTGTCCTGCCCAAAAGGGGCTCGGGTCTTCCACACCTTCACAAAATGGCTTCCTGATAGGCTTCTCAGAGGGAATCAGAATATCTTCATGGATGGTACAGATTTGTTCATGTTTAAACTCAGCTTTTGAATTGCATTTTAGAAAGGATGCGAAGTGACTTCTTCCTGAGTGCTCCTCTGGGTGAGGGTGGAAGTGCTTGCCCTTACGCAAACCTCTCCTTATGACTGTCTCCCTTCCCCCCCACTGCAGCCCTGAGGCCCCGCCACCCCCAGAGCCCACCTGGGAAGAACAGCAGACCAGCGTGTTGCACCTGGCAGGGGACAACTTCCGGGAGACCCTGAAGAAGAAGAAGCACACCTTGGTCATGTTCTATGCCCCTTGTAAGTAGCTGGGTGTGAGGCCAAGGGGCGGGCCAGACCAGACCAAGAAGATCCTCCCCAGGGGCCAGGGCAACCACAGGTGGACTCTGGGCTCCTCTGTACTGTGAACAGGGCTCCCCGGTCTCATTCCAGGCTGAGGCCCTTCAAAATCCAGGGCCTCCTTCTGTCAGTTCTGTCAGGGTCTCTCCTTCTTTCTGGGGAGCCTTTCTCCCATCAGTCCTAAAGTCCTCTGCTCCTGTTTGTGGCAGGAACCTGCCATAAAATTATTCGGTCTCCTCCTGTCCCTGGAATCTTCTAGGCTGCCTGCCTCCCACCTGCCACTTCCTTCCACCCCTTGGCTCCCTCCATCCCACTGGGCACTGACTTCACCTTCAAACCTTGGAATTTAGCTGACCCCATCTTGGCCTCTGCTTTCCTTATCTTCCTGAGCATCCCCAGCCCAGCCCCCTCCCTGATCTTCCCACGTGGCTTTGGCGCCATCGGGTTTGAGGCTGTGGGAAAAGCACACCACATTGTTCTGAGCTAGCTTCTCCTCGATCCCCATTTTTTATCAGATCCCCATTTTAAGTTGAGGAAGTGACATGAGTGTTTGTGACCTTCGGATTTTGTGCGTTCCACTTTGAAGTTCATTGATACTTGAAGGGAAGGCTCTTGAATTTCCCACTCTTCTGTTGCCCTTGTCTCTCTCCCCCAGGTTACAGCTCAGCTTAATGGAGTGGGGATAATAAAGCTTCGCGCCACAGAGAAGCCAGGCAACTCAATCTAGTCATAAATCCGCTTGCTTGTAGCCAGCCCTCCTGTTGGCTCCCCTCCTACCCCACTTTTCAAGTGTCAATAATCTGTAATGTCTCTCCTCCCTCTCACTTTCTGGGAGGGGTTGCCTCCCACCTGCCTTTCCCAGCCTCAGACCTCCGTCCTCAGGCAGCCAGTGCGTCCCTCTCTTTTTGCCTTTCCTTCTGCAAGTGGTAGTGGGACTTGGGCTCTTTCTTGCTGAGCTTCTTGCTGTCCTCATCTGTCCTTAGGACATGCCTGGAAGGCTGAGTAGATTTTAAGAAGTTGTCTTCCATCTGGGCAGAATGGGGTGTGCAGGACCAAGAGCAGAGGGTGTGTGACCTACCCGAGGCCTTGGAGCAATGTATGACAGAGCCCTCCCTGCAGCCTGGGCTGGTGCTCTTTCTGTCACAGACGTCACTCAGAGAGGAGGAGCTTTCTCAGCAGCAGTGAAAGCCTGGCCACAGAAGTCAAGGTCCTTGATCGGCTACTGGATGGACTTTAGTATATCCAGACTAAATACTTTGCCCCAGAAATGCTCCCTTCTTTCCCCCAGACCTCTGGGGTCAGGACTCCTACCCCCTGGGCTGCTAAGGACCCCCCTCACAGAACCACTGTGTGCCGGGTGGTATCTGGGGCCCTGGATACAAGGGAAGGAGGCATGGTCCCTGCTTGGCCTCAAGGGCCTCATAGTCTACTCTGGCAAGAAGCAGCTCAAGACAGCCCATTCAGGGCCACTCCACTGAGCGACTCAGCTTCTGTCAAAGGGCCTGGCACCTAGAGTTTCCCTTTTCCTCTACTGCATGTTCCTGTCCCTGAACTCTGCTCCAGATTCCCAAGACATGCTCATCAGGGAGGTGGATCTTTCCAAAAACAAGTCTTTTAAAATTTTTCAATTATAAAAATAACATATATGTTTATTTATAATATATATGGTATATATCTCTTTATGCCTATTTACATATAAAGAATCTAATACTACAGGAAGGTCATACCCCTGATAAAGGTAGGTATAAAGTAAAAGCAAAAGCCAACCCCCATTGCCTTCCCCAATCTCTATTCCCTCCCGCCTCCTGCCTCCCCACCCCACTTCCCACATCCCCACCATGTCCCTTAACTTCCCAGCACCGCCCAACCCGGCTTCCCCAGTTTCTACATAGATCTTCCTCCAGCTATTTTTCTTTCCTGTTCCAAGCCCCCGCTTCACTCTCAGTGGTCTGGTTCCAGTGACTGCCCTTCTTAGGCTGGCTTGCTGAGTCTCTGGCATTGGGATTTTCTGTCCTGTCCTCGGTTTTTGTTTCTGACTCCCCTCTCTGGGAAGCTTCTTTGGTTTCCTGCTGCACAAAGGTGGTGCCTTTTTAAAGAGCCCAAATTAAAAAATCATGCCTCTTTTGGCCCACCTGACACCCCTTGGAAACATCTTCATGCCCTTTCTAAAACAATCTCCCCTCCAGTTATTCATCTGCCTTGCTCTTTCTTTTGAATCATGATAAAATTAGATGCACAGAAGGTGATTAATCTGAGACCTAGATACTTTAAATTGATGGTAATAGGAATTTGCACTAGGCTGACAGTTGCCTTTATACTTTCAGTAAGCAGAGAGCTTAAAAGGAAAAATTAATAGTGATACCAGATTTGGGGGGAGGGGATAACTTATTTCCAGCCAGCCTAACGCTGTTAGTGGGCATCCAAGTGCCACTCAGGAGGGACCTCTAGGTGCCGCAGGGGTGGTGCTCTGACAAGCCTTGTCAGCCAGCACATTGTGCCCTCTAAATGTTTTGGAATGTATAAACCATCATTCCTATAGAGTGTGTAACATTTTCATGAATTTGAGCTATTCTTCCCTCTGCTGGGTCAAATTAGTAAAGTGTTTTTATAATTGCCATTGAAGCAGTTAAAAGAAGTCATCTTAGTATCTGCCCCAAGTGAGGCTGTGCTAGGCCCTCTGTGGCATTCTGTTCTGATAGGACCTGTGACCAGCCCAGCTGTCTTCTCTGCACCTGCAGGGGGTGTGGGGAGAATCCCTTGACTGCCCCCCCCGTCGCTGTCCACACTGTTCCGGGGCCAGCTGGCTACTCAGCCAGCTGCCCATCTCAGGAACTGGCTCAAGTGCTCAATTCACATTAAAGTTGTAGCCTAGCCTTAATTTGGTTTCACACAACACTTTGAAAGTCATTATCATCTTATTTTAAAAAGAGAGAAAGCAGATGAGCAAAGCCATTTCTGGTCCCCGCGTAGGCTGGCCCGACTGTTGGCCAGCTCTCCCCATGGGGCATTTGGCCTCTCCCACCTGTGTTTTGATCAGAATTAATTACCAGTGTCAGGGAATTCCTCCCTCAAAGCAGTTCTGTTCTCCTGGCAGTTGTGTTCAGCGTCTGGGGAATGGTTGGAGGAAGGGGGCTTGGGTTTGGATCAGCTAATGCTGAGGGAGGGGCCGAGAAGCACCACTGTCACATGCAGGGCCTCTGGAGTTAGGGGTCCTCGTCCGCTGTGATAGGTCTGTTCCCTCAGGAACCCAGGCCCTGAGAAGCGTCGGGGACTCGCTGTAGCTGATCCTCCTCTCAGCCTGACCTTGGACCTCCCGTCCCTGAATCCAAGGTTCAGGTTGATTGTAGAGCCGAGGGTAGAAGGATAGCATGAGGACCAGAAGCTGGGTTTGGCCGCTTGGTCCAGGGTGGGGATTTGCTGGGAATGGAGAATTTAGCAGCAGGACACGAGCAGTAGGGGCTCAGGTGGCATGGTTCCTCCTCCCTCCACCTTTCCCAGTCCCGTTCTCTCAGGCCTGAAATGGACAGTGGGTACCGCTGTCCCTAGGGAAGGAGAAGGGGACTCTGTAACCTGCTCAGAGAATCCTGAGCACACATCCTCCTTTTCCAAGCCCAAAGGTCCCCTCTCTACCCTAGCTCCAAGGACAGCCCTCTGTGGAAGGAGCTTGCAGAACAAGACCACAGCAACCCCCAGCCTCTTCGGCCAGGTGTATGATGGGAGGATGTGGGGTGGGAGGTCCTGGGCAAGAGCAGACCTGACGTTTGCACAGGAACCTCTACAAAGTCCTTGTGCTGACAGCAGACACAGGGGGCAGTGTTTGAGTGGCAGGGTTGACACGTGGACCCTGACAGTCTGGCGTGCAAGGGGTGGGAGTCAGATGAACCCCCACAGTCTGTTGGGTGGAGGGAAGCTCCTGGAAAGGCTCCTCTGTCAGTGCCAGGGAGGGCCCCTGGCTCTGCAGCCTCCCCTGCATGAGCAACATTCGGTCCTTCCCCTCCCCTGCAGGGTGCCCGCACTGTAAGAAGGTCATCCCACACTTTACCGCCACTGCCGACATCTTCAAAGATGACCGAAAGGTAAGGATACCCTTCTTCATCTCTGTCCTGCTTCTGACTTTGCTCTGCCCCACAGCTCTCTACCTCCCTCCCTTCCGTTCAGGTCCCCTTCCTGAATAGACTCTGCTGAGGTCAGAGAATTCCTGGGAACCAGGACATTCTTTTCATAAGGCAGGACAGGGCAGGCTGAATTTCTGCTGTAAAATCAGTTAAAAGGGATACACTGCACTGTTACAGCCCTTCCTGGGAAGAGGGGGTTGGTAAAGGGGTTATCTATTTATTTTTAGCGTTTGAATCTTTTTGTGGTAGGATTTGTAGTCATGCATTACTTATATAATTGAAAATACAAATAAAGAATATCCAACAAAAGTCAACCAGAGGCAGCCAAGGTGGAGGAGAACAAGGCTGTCCTGCAGAGCCTCATCCCACCGAAGTAAAAGGCTCCTGCTGATGAAGCATAAAGTTAACAAGCTAGAACTACAGATTGGATTAAAGTGTGGGGAGAGGGCACCCCCAGGCACCTCCCTAGGCAGCTCCACCAGCCAGGGCAGCGCGGGCTGCTACCAGGTGAGGGCAATGTGGGACTCCGGGGCTGAGGCGTGGTGTGGCAAGGGCAGACCCTGGAGCTCAGGCCCGGTGCGGCTTGAATGCTGCTAAGCCGTGTGGCTTGGAGAAGTCCTATCGACTCTCCAGGCCTTGAGTTCTCTTCTCGCCAAAGCTGGGGTCCTGCCCTAGATGATCATGAAGACTCTTCCCAGCCTGGGACTCTGTTGTAGGAATGTGTCCCCCAACAGGCCTCAGAAGCATGCTCATACACACCCAGGCCCAAAGTTGCATGCATGTACACTGGGTGAGATGCTTGGGTGCAGCTGGGGCAGGCTGGACCCACACGCCAGGAGGCGCTGGAGTTGGCCCTGGGGGGTTGGCGGTGATGGCATGTGAGCGCTGTACAGGGACAGCAGGTCAGAGGGAGCCCGGCTGGAGCACCGGCACATGTCTGGGGAGGGGGATAAACTCGGGACTCAGACCCCAGGACCCTTCCCTGGACTCAGGATGTCCCATTGTCACCCACAAGGTCTGGCTGTGCCCTTGAGGCTCCCTTCACCCCACCAGGAGGGAGTAGAAGGACCAGAAACCTTTTCTCCTTTGCCTGCCCCTTGACCTGTATGGAGAGGGGCATGGCAAGAAGGGGCTTCCTGTCTTCCAGCTCCCTCCCCACCCACCGCCCTCTGCCACCCAGGGCCAGTGCACATGCAGGAGTTCTGGGGAGGTTCGGCCAGTCCCCTAGGACTCCCTCACAGTCTGGGTGTTGCTTGGCGTGGGGAAGCCTTTGCTCCCTGTAGCCAGCACGGGACTGGCAGGCATTCCACATTGACTCCCATCGCCCCACGCCATGAGACGGGAGAGTGGCTGGGGTGTGGGGTCTTCCCGTCCCCTGGCTGCTCAGGTCTTTGTGGCTCCAGGGTCTGTGAAGGGATCACCTCAGTCCAAGCGGGGCCAGGCTGGCTTTGCCCACAGTAGCAGCCAAGGGCCGGTCCTCCTCTTCCTCTCTTCCATCTGCTGATGCACAGGGATGCCATTTCCACAGGGACCCCACTAAGACACTGATAAGCCTTTGCTTAATTGTCTCAACTTGGGCCAGTTACGTTGCTGGCCTTTTCCTGCGCTCATTCCCTCTGTCTGTTATGTCCTCTCTCCTCTCCTTCCAGCTCCCTGTGTTCCAAGCCAGAGATTACCCTCACTCATTTTCAGGAGCACATTAAATCTCTCTGCCCCTCTCTGCCAGGCATTTGGCAGGCCTGGGTTTCCTGGACGTGGCTCTCAGTAACACCAGGGAAGCATTTGCTCTCGGCCTGGGGGACTAAAGTTACTGGTGTCACGATTGCTGGGTGCCATCCTAGAACTGTCACATCAGAGGTCCAGGGATGGTTCTGGGAATCTAATTTTTTTTCTTTTTTCTTTTTTTTAAGAGAGGGAGAGAGAGCAGGGGAGGGGCAGAAGGAGAGAGAGAATCCTAAGCAGGCTCCATGCTCAGTGCAGAACCTGACGTGGGGCTTGATCTCAACGACCCTGAGATCATGACCTGAGCCAAAATCAAGAGTTGGATGCTTAACCGACTGAGCCACCCAGGCACCCCAGGAATTTGTAATTTTTAAGAGCTGCCTCTCGTACTAACCACTGGCTGATGTTTGGGGTCTGGTGGCCCATCCCTCTCCTACTCATGAGGGATCAAGGCCCAGAGAGGAGCTATGTCCCTTGCCCAGGGACACGCAGCTGTGGGTCATGGACAGCCAGAACAGAGTCTCTTGACTCCCAGTTTTTCTGGATACCCTGTGCTCCCACCTCTTAGCTAGAATTGTATTCCGCCCCCCGCCACCCTGAAGCCAATCTCTGTTCCTTCCCCAATCAATATGCAGTTGGTTGTTCACTTCCATTTTCATAGCCAAAGTCAATATTAGCTCCTGCAGAGATTTATTTTATTGAATCAATAAAGCCGCATGAGGCAGTTCATATTTTAGCTGGGGAGCCTCCACCCCCTCCCAGGGGTGGAACTTGAGCAGTTGACACACTGGCTGGAGAGAGGGCTGCATGCTGCTCGTGTTAGAACCGATGGCGGTAGGGAAGGGGCCACGGAGGACATGGGCCTGAGGTGGAAGGCTGGCGGGTGCAGGCAGGGGTCAGGGTACCACTGGGCCGGCAAGGTGGGGCTCATCTCTCACTGCACATCCAGCCTGGGAGTCAGGCTGGCCAGCAAGGTGTGAAGGTCATCCCAGGACAGGCGCCCTGAGGCAGAGGGAACTGCTGTAACTTTGGCCATGGTGTGTGTACTCCCTTGCGTTGACAAGGCTGTCTGTCCATCAGAAAGGAAAGCTCCCTGAGGGTAGGGACCTCATTTGTCCTTGAATTCCCTCCAGTCTTGACGCCTGAAACCTCTGTAAATGCTGACTGAATGAAGAAACAACAGCATTTGATATCTTTCGAAAACTCTGCTCCCACTGGTGCTTGAGAGCATTATGTCACGTTGTCCTCGTAGTAGTGTAACCAACTGGGTATTATCAATCTCCCATTTTACAGAAGAAGAGATTGAATCTGCGAGAGGTTAGAAGTCTCTCCCAAAGTCATCCAGCTGGGAAGGGGCTGCTCAGAACCAGATAAACAGGCATTATCAGAGGCCTCCCAGAAGCAAACTCAGGTTCCGGGACTCGTGTGTAGGGGGTTTATTTGGGAAGCGGCCTCAGGGATAGAGGAAGGGGGAGCAGTCAGGAAAGGAGCCAGAGCAGGTGTATTAATGAGCAGATTGGTGCATGCATAATTAGGTTCAGTCCCTAGAGACCTCACCATGGACAGAAGCGCCTCACCCAAAGGTCCAGGAAGCCAAGGAACATGTCCTCAAGCCCTGTCCATCACTGGCCTCCCTTGGGGCTCCCTGCAGCCGAGAATTGTGGGTGCCAGGGGCAGGTGTTTGGCCAAGGGGTCATGGCAGGATACCAACCACTGTGGAGCAAATCTAGAAGTGATAGTGCGCATTCAGTGCTATAGTTCAGTCAGTGTAAATCTGGAGGGGGTGTGGGGGGGCAGGCATTTAGACAGGAGAAAGGGGGATAGGTGAGAAGAGGTTTATTTGCTGTCTTCTTTCCAGAGTCTAAGCCGCTTCCTTCAGAAAGAGCCGCACTCAACTCCTCTGCTCCCATAGAAATGGAGTGTGGAGGAGTCTTTGCAGCCGGAAGTAGCCCTCGGTGTGTATGTGGCTGGCAGCTGGTTTAGGGGATTCAAAATAAGTACACATTTTTAGTTTAGTCAATTTATAAAACTGTACCGTGTATTTCCCGCGGCTCCGGGGCATGTAGAGACAAATTAAATTCATAATTTAAAGCAGAAGCAGGGAGAGCAGCAGCCTGGAGCAACCCTCATCAAACACTTCCTCGGCGTAGCAGAGGCGCCTTGGCCCCTCACCGAGGGCAGGACGCAGATGGCTGCCCGGTGGGCGCCGTCTCCCCTGGGCTGGGCCCCAAGAGCCGGAACGCTGAGGACAGCCAGAGGAGCACCTGCCTCGTGTTTCTGAATAATTCAGAAGGCGTTTTCGAGGGTGAGCTGGGGTTCTCAGAAGGCTTCAGGGGCCCGCCTGCTGGCCGGGTGGGCCAGGCTCCATGCGGACACCAGCAGACGGCACGTTGAACCCGCCAGAAGGAGATGGCTGCCCCTCCGCTCCAGCCACATGTTGCCTGTGGGAATGCAGGGCAAATGCCATCAAATCTGGCTTTTAAACAGAAGCCAGAGAGCCACACTGCTATATAAAATCTTTGGGCTCTTTTTCGAGGTTGGCAGCTAATTCAGGTTTATTTTATTTTTTTTTTTAAATTCTATGTGGGCCAAATAGAACAGGACTGAGAGCCAGATATGGAATGTGTGCAGCGAGTTTGCAAACTCTGCTCTAAGAAGTCTCATCGTGCAGACGTTCTGTAGCTGAAGTGGGAGGGAAGCGTGAGGGCCGGGCAGGGGCAAGCGTGGCCCGCCGGTGACCAGAGGGCAGGCTGCGCCTCACTCTTCACTGTCAGGCCTGCTGCCGGCACAGCAGTGGCCCCTCTCACCTGGGCACAGGGGCAGTGAGCTGCGAACGTGACTGTCGGTGGCCTGCAGGGCTCTTCTACTTGGAAAGGGGGCGTCCCTCCCCATGTGAATAACCCATAGCCGTAGAACCATGGGAATTGTGGCTACTTAATGATTCGAAATTTCAGGCATGGTGATCGTTCAGTCGGGATGCCTCATGGGCCCTGGTTCTCATTCCTCTCTCTGGTGCTGGTGTGGGCTGCTCCTCCTGGGCCGGTGCTCCCTGCTCGGGCCTTCGTGCACCTGCTGCCTCGTCCTGACGCAGGTTGTAGATCGAATACCGTCTCCTCGGAAAGGCCTCCTTGACCATAAAGCAGCCCCTCTGGCTATCGTCTTCTTGAATCACCCTCTTTTAATTTCTTCAGAGCATTCACCGGGCTCTAAACAATCTCACTTGTTACGTGTCTATTAACTGCCTTCCTGCAGTAAGAACGGCAGTCACTTAATGGCTGGACTTTTTCAAGGTCACCAGTGTACTCCTAACACATAGCAGCCCTTGGGTAGATTCTTCCTCTTACCAGAATCTGCCCTCCCCTCTTCTGTAATGCTTGTGTTTGGTGCATTGCCGTAAAGCGACCTTCTCCCCTCCTTCCCTGCTTTGTGACCCTCAACAGAAAGAAGGTTCCCCAGGTCTGCTTTATACCCTCTTATTATTATTTTTTTTTTGACAGAGAGAGACACAGTGAGAGAGGGAACACAGCAAGGGGAGTGGGAGAGGGAGAAGCAGGCTTCCCGCGGAGCAAGGAGCCCGATGCAGGGCTCGATCCCAGGACCCTGGGATCATGACCTGAGCCGAAGGCAGACACATAACGACTGAGCCACCCAGGCGCCCCTACCCTCTTATTTTAAAAGAACAATAAATAGTAAGGGAAAACTACCAGCGTGTGGAATTTGGTAGATGGGCAGGAAGAGGCCAGTGGCCAATTTGGGAACTTCCTTCTGCCCGAAAACTCTGTTTGCTTTCCTCATGCTGAACTCTTGCGGTTCCTGGAATGTGCTCCCCTGGCTGGAACTTCTTTCTCCTCCTCCTCCTCCTTCAGGCCACTGCTCAGATGGCAAACCCTGCAGAGCACCTTTGTGCCCCTCCCTTGGCAACCTGGACCACCTCCATCCCTCACACCTCCTTTTGTGCCTTGGAATTGTCTCTATCTGACCCCTTTGACCAGACGCTGAGCCCCTACTAGGGACAGAGCTCGTGTCTGGGGCCCATAGGAGTGATTATGATAGCAGTGAACATTTCCTGACTACTAACCACGTGCCAGGTCCTGTGCCAAGTCACCTCCCCTGGATTCTCTCGCTCGGCCTTCATAATATTCTGATCACCTATGTATTGTTATTACCCCCGTTTTACAGATGAGGAAACTGAGGCACCAAGAGGCTAGGTCATTTTCCATAAGTCTTACTATGCTGCCAAGCCAAGATTTGCACTTGGGAAACCTGACTTCAAAGCTCTTGTTCTTAACCTTGGTACTCGACTGCCTCCCCGAACAGATGTTCAGGAAGTGTTAGTTGATAAATGAATGAGTCCCACCATGCCTCACAGAAAGCATCACAAAACCTGCCATGTTTACAAATGCTCTCAAGTCATCATTTCCTTCATGGCCATTCTACTCTTGATTTTAAAGGGTGGTCTGAGGGCACTGCAAGCTGAGTCCCCTAACCTTACCTGTCTGCCTTGAGAATTGGAAGCAAGAAGCGGCAGTCTTCAATGGAGCTCTGAGCTGGGGAGGCTTTGGTTCAGCTCATCCTCGCTATTGAGAAAAATCAGAGAAAGCACATGGCGTGGGCCTGAAGTGCGGTCTATGTGCGGAGGGGCTGGGCCTCGGGTCTCACATGGGAGGCCCCCTGCGCTGACCCCGCCTTTCTTCGGGCCCGCAGATTGTCTGTGCTGCTGTGGACTGCGTCAAAGAGAAGAACCAGGACCTGTGTCAGCAGGAGGCCGTCAAGGCCTACCCCACGTTCCACTACTACCACTATGGGAAGTTTGCCGAAAAGTATGACAGCGAGCGGACGGTAAGCTGGGGAGGAGCACCCGCCCTGAGCTCTTTCTGTTGGGCAGGGAGACAGCCACTGAGAAGGACAGCCAACGCCGCAGAAGTCCGCCGTGTGCACGCCGCTGGGAAGGCAAGGGCCACGGGCCTGGCTGGAAGAGTGCCCCCAGAGGTTGTCCCGGAGTCCAGCTCCCAGAGCCTGGCTGGGTTCTGGGCGTTCGGCAAGGGCTCCTCCGTAGCCAAGCAGACCCTCCCCACATGGGCAGCCACGTCCACTGGCCACTTCTCTACGTCCAGCAGAGTGTGCACATGGAGGGTCAGGAAGAGGGGAGAGGGGGAGAGGGTGCACATCTGCATCAGGGTAAAGGCTTTTTTCTCTTTCTCTTTCCCTTCCCGACAGGAACTGGGGTTTACCAATTTTATTCGAACGCTCCGGGAAGGAGACCATGAGAGACTAGGGAAGAAGAAGGAAGAGTTGTAATTTCTGCCTCAGAGAAAGCTTTTCCATTACACTGTGAATGATAACCTGTTTTGTTGTTCTTTCTGAATTTCCACATGTTCTGAAGACAATTTTTTATAGCCGCTTATGGCCATTTTGTACAATTTTGAAATAAAATCAAACCAATTGTTTGGTGGTGTGGGTCGTTTCCACAGAGCCTGTACTAAAAGAGATGGAGAGGTGGATACTTGTGTTGTCCCTTATGCCACGTCCCCTCCTGGGAGGTAGAGAGCCACACGCCGGTGTCCCATCTGCCTGGGAGAGACACATGAGGGCGGAGAGTAGGCACGAGGAGGGTGGCATGGAACAGTGCCCTTCTCAGCCATTGGAGAGCAGGACGGGGAGATCTGAGCACAGCATATCCTGTTGGAAATGACTGGTTTAGGGAGGAAATATGTTAAGATAATGAGGGAAAACGAGATGCTGAAGCTTACGGTCACCAAGTACTATCTTTGTCTGGATCATTTCAGTTTGAGTTTGGGTGGGTTTTCCTGGAACTCATTTACATGTTTCTCTTTCTTCAACTATTTCTGTCTTCTCTTTTCCTCTCTCTGGTCCCTCCCTGCTCTCCCTTCACAGAAAAGCTGAGTCTCCAATTCAGGGCTGAGCGCAGTGGGCAAGCCCAGGCTCAAAGGAGCGTCTAGAATGGAGTAGGGGAGGGGCCTCTGTGTGCTGCTTGCTCTGTACCCTGGAAGGGGCAGACGTGAGTGGCATATTCTCCATAGGCATGCAGTTGCCGGGTCAGCCCCCGCTCACCCTGCCACTGTAACCTCCAAATGTTACTCCCATGTTCTCCGTGGATGGGCACCACCCAGGCTCCTGGTCTACCCCGACATCTCACTCTGCCTCCTTCCTCCATTCCATCTCTCTCCTGATCGGCTTTCACACCGGTCATGCTTTCTCCATCTCTGGGTGACTTAACACCAGCCCTGTGCCCATCGGTGTGCCGCCAGAGCCGGAGAACCCTGTGCTGTGTCTTGTCTGCCCACCGGGAGCAGAACAGCCCCCGCTCCCGCTGCCTTGACTTGACTTCTAAGCCGCCGTCCTAGCCTTGGATTTGGGCAGTTCCAGAAGAGGGGTTGCCTAAGCTGCAGTGCTTAGCTGCTCACTTGGGTGGTTCTGTTGGCTACTTGGCCTTCAGGAACAGCCCTGTTTCCTAGCCTGGCCCCCTCCCGGCGGCCTCCAGCCTTACTGCTGATGGGTCCGCTAAGAGGAGGACCAACAGCACAAAGCCGCAGAGCTCCTCAGGGCTGTGCTGACAGGTGCCACGGCTCTTTTAGGTGAAATTGGAGGTTCTCAGCTTCCCAGTCCACCCTCTGCTGCTTCAGCCTCGCTTTTTTTCTCCTAAGCACACACTTCCTCAGCAGTGGCCCTGGTCTTGCCCCAAGTGAATGGGTATGAAAGAAAGAAGCATGCATTTAAACACTTGTCCTGAGCTCCTGCTGGGTACTGTACGCAGTCATACAAGGAGCCATGTAATCCTGACACTGTGTCGTGCACCGTTCCTACAAGGGGCACCTGAGAGCAAGTGCATGCACAGACATGCTTTTTCCCTAATGGTGATTTGGAGGCTTTGCAGGAGGAATGTATTTGCTTGTGTCTTCAAAAAAATTCGTTTTTAACTGTATCTTTAGAACAATACCTGACAAAAACCACTTCCCGACTGAGGACTGCTAGTGCCGACCTTCAAGGTGCGGGGCTTTCTTTTAGTCTGTTCCATAGCCTCAAGGTCAGATTGGCCTGGCCTGGCTTCTTGGTGAGGGCTTGAAAGCACCAGGAAATGGCATCACTTCTCTGTTTGCAGGATTTGATAATTATAAAGCTTTGTCAGAATGTCTAGTGCTTACCATGACTTTGGGCATGACCTGAGTAGGTTCACCCCAGCTCTGGGCAGTGGCTTCTATGGACAGAGCTCCCTACCTCCACTCCCCATCCCCAGCCTCGTCTGTGCACTCTCTCCCACCCTTCACCCTCATTCCCCAATTCTGGAGCTCTGTGCAGATGGAGCAGTACCATGGCATCTAGTTAGTTCTGTTCCTCCTGCCCACACTTGTTTCATATGGAGTTCATTGATCTTCAGTGCAGAACCCTCTCTACCCCTTGGGGACCTGCTGTCATCTCACCCCCCCTTCTCCTGGATCCTGCATTTGCAGGCAGATTTCTCTGCAGGAGGTGTCTGTGAGTTAGGGGAGAACTGAGTCCCAATCTTCTTTCTGGGCTTTGGCACAACCTTCACCTCAATTTCTCTCCTCCTCCCTGGTTTGCCTTAGCTTCCCACTTTACTTGCATCCCCCATGCCTCTCGCCCACCAGTGATTCCCTATTGCTGCCTGACTGGAGCTTTCAGAGCTGGCCCCCCAACCTTTCTTATCCTCCCATGCTACTGCCTCCCTTTCTGGAGGTGCTTGGCTTCCAGAAACTTCTGTGCCAGGCACAGGGAGGTGATGCTCTGGGTTTAAGAAGTGATGTGTGTGTTTTTGTGTGGTATCTCATTGTGGTTTTGATTTGCATTTCCTTAACGATTAGTGTTGTTGAGCATCTTTTAAGGTTTTTTTGGCCATTTATAGATCTTCTTTGGAAAAATGTTTTTTGCCCATTTGTCAAATGGGTTGTTTGTTTTTTGTCATTGCTGTCTTACAGGAGTTCTGTATATTTTCTAGATATGAATCCCTTATCTGATCTGTGACATGCAAATATTTTCTGCCATTCTGTGGGTTATCTTTTCACTTTCTTAATAATGCCCTTTGATGCACACAAGTTTTTAATTTTGATAAAGTCCAGTTTATCTATTTTTTCTTTTGTTGTCTGTGTTGTCATTACCAAATCCAATGTCCAAAGCTTTTCTCCTATGTTTCCCTCTAAGAGTTTTATAGTTTTAGGTCTTATGTTTAGGACTTTGATCCATTTTGAGTTAAATTTAAAGTAAGGGTCCAGCTTCATTGTTTTACATATGGCTATCCAGTTTCCCCACCACCGTTGGTAGAAAAGACCATTCTTTCCTAATTGAGTCTTGGCACCCTAGTCAAAAATCATTTGACCATATATGTGAGGGTTTATTTCTGGGCTTTCTATTTTATTGCGTTGATCTAGATGTCTGTCTTTATACCAGTACCACGGTTTGGATTACTGTAGATTTGTAGTAAGTTTTGAAATTGGGAAGGGAGATTCCTCCAACTCCATTCCTCTTTTTCAAGATGGTTTTAGCTGTTCAGGGTCCCTTGAAATTCCACATGTCTGTGCCATTAATCGTGTGTAATTTGCAAAACCAACACTGCAATCAAAATGCAAAACTATCCCACCATTACAGAGATTTCTGCTATGTTCCTTTATGTTTACTCCTCTTAAAGACTCCCCTCCTCCTCACAAACGTTGGCAGCCGCTAACTTGTTTTCCATCTCTATACTTTGCTCATTTGGGGAATGTTATATAAATGGAATCCTACAATAAATAATCTATTAAGATGGACTTTTCTCACTCTACATAACGTCCTTGAGATCCATCCAAATTGTATGTATCAGTATCTTGTTTCTTTTTATTGCTGAGCAGTGTTCCATGATATGGATGGATGTAACACAATTTATTTACCTGTTAGGGAACGTTTTGGTTGTTCCCAGTTTGGGACCATTACAAATAAAGCTGCCTTTTGTCTAGATGAAAGTTTTTATTTCTCTGAGGTAAATACCCAGAAATATGATTGCTGGGTCATATGTTAAGGATATGTTTAGCTTTTAAGGAAATTGCCAAACTTTTGCAGAGTGGCTGTACCATTTGCTTTCTTTCCAGTGATGTATGACAGATCCAGTTTCCCCATATCCTGCTCAACATTTGGTATTGTCATTGTGTTTTGTTTTGTTTTTTTAATTTTAGCCGGTCTAATTAGGTGTGTAGTAATATATCATCATGGTCTTACTGTGCATTTCACCAATAATTAGCAATGTTGAATATTTTTTTCATGTGCTTATTTGCCATCTATATATCCTCTTCAGTAAGATGCCTATTCATGTCTCTTGCCCATTTTCTAATTGGATTTTTTTTTTACTGTTGAATTTTGAATGTTCTTTATATATTCTAGATACTAATCCTTTGCCAGATATGTGGCTTATAAATATTTTCTCTTATCTGTAGCATGTTTTTTAATCTTAACAGGGTCTTTCAGAGAACAAAAGTTTTTAATTTTGACAGAATTAATTTAATTTCTTTTGTGGATCATGCTTTTGCTGTCATATCTAAAAACTCATCACCAAGCCCCAGGCCCTAAAGTTTTCCTTCTATGTTTATTTCTAAAGTTTTACATTTAAATACATGATCCATTTTGAGTTAATTTCTGTACAAGATGTGAGACTTAGATTAGGCCTGTGGTGTCCAATTGTTCCAGCACCATTTGTTGTAGACTGTCCTCTACTGCATTGCTTTTGCACCTTTGTCAAAAAGCAGTTGGCTGTACTTATAGAAGTCTATTTCTGGATTCTCTGTTCTGTTGATTATATATGATATAATATATCATATATATAACTATATAAGATTATGCTTATATAATGTACTTAGTATCTAATAAGTCTTGAAATCAAGTAGCCTGATTTCTCCCACTGCCTTTTTTTTTTTAAAGATTTTATTCATTACCTAGTCAGAGAGAGAGAGAGTACAAGCAGGGGGAGAAGCAGGCTCCCCGCTGAGCAGGGAGCCCGACGTGGGACTCGATCCCGGGACTCCGGGATCATGACCTGAGCCGAAGGCAGACGCCCAACTAACTGAGCCACCCAGGCTGTTTTAGCTGTTGCAGTTCCTTTTCCATATAAATTTTACTTATTTTATTTTTTAAGATTTATGTATGTATTTTAGAGTAAGCGTGCATCGGGGGAGGGGTAGAGAGAGTGAATCTTCAAGCAGACTCCCTGCTGAGCATGGAGCCCAAGATGGGGCTTCATCCCACAACCCATGAGATCACGACCTGAGCCAAAACCTAGAGTCAGATGCCTAACCGACTGATCCACCCAGGTGCCCCTTCCATATAAATTTTTGAATAATCTTGTCTATCTCAAAACACACACAAACACACAGAGAAAGATAAAGCCAAAGACACAACATGTAAATAACTGGTGAATCTTAGGCAGAGGGTATATGTGACGTTTTATAAGTTTGAAATGCTCTCTTCCCTTCCCCCACAACCCCCCGCTGCCCGCAAAAAAAAAAAAAAAAAAAAAAAAAATTGCACATGGGGAAAAAAAAACCCCAGCCCTCAATATATAAACTCAGTGTCCCAGTCTAGCAGGGAGGGCCTGAGTTTAACTGTCTCTAGGCAGCTGTGTTTCCTGTGTGGCCAGGACCCAGTTCCCCTGTGCCCCAACAGAAGGCTGCAGAAGTTGGCTGAATCTGGCTGAGTTTGCTAGAGGTTGTAACCTCAGTGAGATCACAGGCCAGCCTCAGGGGGCCACAGCACCAGCAGGAGGGGTGCCCAGCCAGGACTAGAAAAGGACGGAGGATGCATGCGCCCCAGGGTTCAGGAGCAGACAGCCACAGAATACCCCAGAGCAAGCTCAGTTGCCGCTCAGCAGCCACCACTCAGGTGCAGTGTTGACCAGCAGAGGGTGCAAGGATCTGCAGGACCCGGTGGGGTTGTAGGTCCCTTCTTGGCTGTCTCAGAAAGCAAAGTGAAAGTTTGTCCGCACCTTGTAGAGGAAAAGGGCTCTGAAAGACTGGACATTTACTTACGGAGTCATCCTATAGTTACCTAAAGAGAATTTTCAGTTTATTGGATCAGACTGAGATCACGACTTCTACTAAGTCAACTAACAGGAAAACAAACCCACATCCATTTTTCTCTCATAAATAGGCACTGTGTAAATACACAACTCCTACATTTCTGATAAAATGTAGTGGGGCCCAGTACTGAACACAAGAGTCCAGCTGAGAACTGGCCAGTATAGGGGGAAAGGACCATGAATCCCTCATTCCTGATCTTTTAAGATATATCTTGGCTAATCTAGTCCAAGATTGCAGACTCACTGTCAACAAAAGCCATCAAAACTTTTTCATACTGCTTACAGAAAAGACCAACCCTTGATAGTTCATTTCCATTGAATATTTTTCTTCACTGATCTTCAAGGTACTACATGTGTTGTAATAAATGTTGAAAAATGCAGAAAAGCACGCAGAAAAAAATTTAAATTGCTCATAGCCTTGCTACTCATCAGTTATTCAATATGTTGGTGTACTGTCTTCCAGTTTTTTTTTAAGATTTTATTCATTTATTTATTATAGAGATAGCCCATATGGGGGGAGAAGCAGAGGGAGAGGGATAAGCAGATTCCGCCCCTAGCGCAGCCCCACACAAGGCTTGATCCCACGACACCAAGATCACAACCCAAGTAGAAATCAAGAGTATTTTGCTCAACTCGCTGAGCCACCCAGGCACCCGTCTTCCAATTTTTTTATCACACGCAAATGAAATCTCAGTATTTTATAACTTTTAAAAATATTTTACAAAGTGTTTACAAATCTTTCTATATCATTAGGTATTCTTCCTCAACATAATTTTTAAAGACTATATAGCAGAGTTTCTCAACATTATTTCTTGGTGCTATTGACATTTTGGGACATAATTCTTTGCTGTGGGGAGCTTTCCTGTGCATTGGAAAATTTTTAGCAGTATCTCTGGCCACTTTCCCCTAAATGCCAGTAGCACTCCCCTTCCCAACAGATTGTGACAACCAAACTTTGCCAAAGTCCCCTGGGGGGCAAAATCACCCCCCAGTTGAGAACTGCTGCCATGCAGCACTTCATCCTATGTAAATACCATCCTTTACTTACAGATCTGTGTCATTAGATGTATATGTTATTTATAGTTATTCTCTGTCATAAATAATGCTGGGATGGACATCTCTGGTGTTTTTTTTTAAGATTTTAGTTGTTTATTTGTCAAAGAGAGAGAGCCAGAGCGTGCACAAGCGCAAGGAGAGCAGCAGGCAGAGGGAGAAGCAGACTCCCCGCTGAGCAAGGAGCCTGATGCAGGACTTGATCCCAGGACCCTAGGATCATGACCTGAGCTAAAGGCAGATGCCTAACGACTGAGCCACCCAGGTGTCCCCTTTGGTTTTGTTATTTTACACATTTTCAGAAGTGACTTTCTGGGTCAAAGAATATACTTATTTTTAAGACCTGCAATATATACTGTCAATTTTCCTTCCGTGGTGTGCCTATTTATACTCTTACCAAGAGTATATGAAATTACCTGTGTTTTTTTTTAACTCTGGCTAGCTCTGGGAATTATAGTTTTTAAAGATCTTTGCAAATTATATTTTTGATATAAGACAAAATTATTCTAGTTACATTTATCTCGAAAATCCATCTTTGTTTTAGCCTGCCAGGATGTTTTAGATTCTGTTTTTGTCTCTGACAAGCTTTCTATCTTTAACTTCATGTCACTTGCAAATTTGATAAGAATTAAAATGTGAAAAATAGAGTATAGCCTAGAACGTTGAAACAGGCCAATAGAAATTTCTTGTCAATCCATTAGTTCCGTATCTGTAGGCAGAGTCGTTCAGCAAGTTCCTAACCCACTCAGTCGTCCC